TTTATTTTCTGTACTTGATCACACGCATGTTTATTGTTAGGTGCACTATGCACGGATGTCTCGTAAACTATAGGACTTGGCGGTTAGTGGACAGTGATTTGTATATAGAATCTATATACATTAGGATTAGTAGGAACATACAATGGATACATTAGGCTGTTTCGGATTGACAAAGTATATTATATACTACATATTAAGTGTTTTAGTGCATAAGTAATAAATTTAAGATTAAGTTTTAAAGTGTTTATTTGATTGGTTACTCCCTCGTTTATCGTGATCATGTCTTCTGAACTACTGTGCGTGTTTTGTAAATACTTCCTATACAAAAGTTTTTCTAGAAAAATAAATCTATTTTCAAGTTTGTAATATTTAATACTTAATTAACCTTGTGCTGATGACCTACGTCGTTTAACGTGCCCGGGATAACCTCAACCAATGAGCTAGATCAAATGTAGTCTAAGTAGGAGATAGAGGACGTCGGTGTCAAAATAAAATATTTGCTCGTTAATTTTTTAATAATATATAAATAAAGAAAACCATAATTTAGTAATGTGACATTTTTTACCGTACGGAGTGAGTATTTTTTAATAATACTAATCAAATATATTTTTATAACTTTAAACATAAAAGCATAGATAATATGGAATTGAATTATTAGTTTGGGAAAGAAAAAAAAAGACGTATTTTTGGGAGGGGTTTGTTATGTACGGATGTACATACGTTCATGTACGGAGCGATGTGAGGCTTTCTGAGATAAATTTAGGGAGAATAGCTACTTTAGTTCCTAAAGTTTCTCTGTAGGATCAGTTTAGTCCCTAACATTTTAAATGGTCCAAAGAAATCCTTAACCTTTGTCATAAGGCCTAGAATAGTCCTTGGGTCCACCAAAATCATCATATGGATATGCCATGTCATCATTCATGAAAAATCTATGATGAATTGTCTAATTTACCCTTGCATATATCATAGAAAAATAAATATAAGGGTGAATTAAGCATAACCATAGAAAAAAATACTTCTTTTTTCACCCTTTTGAGGTATAATTTTCTCTTACATATACCATATATTTTTTTAAACTTTTTCCTTTTATTTTTTATTTTCCTATGCGTAAGGGTAAATTGGACAAATCATATAGATTTTGCATAGGAAGGTGACATGGCATGTCCATGTGGCGATTTTGGTGGAAAGAAGGACTATATTGGCCCACATGACAAATTTAAAGGACTTATTTGGATAATATGAAAGATTAAGGACTAAAATGACCCAGGAGCGAAACTTTAGGGACCATATTAGCTATTCTCCCATAAATTTAAATGGAAAATTTTCAAGATTGATCTAATGGTGGAAAATAATGGGTCCACCAGATTTAATGAAAACCGATGGCTAGATGTTTTGATTTTCTATAGCGCCATGTGGTGACCTGAGAGTGTTTGTAGGGGTGCTATGTGGCGGCTTAGGAGCGTTTGTAGGGAGTTTAATGGACTTTTAGTATATAATAGATAATAGATAGATGGATTTCATTTTATCATATTTAATTACATTCTTTATTGTGCTTACTGCATTCGATTTTTGAGATATACACATGGCTAAGTTCATTGCACTCTGTAAATGTGGTAATTAACTAGCAAAGTTTTGGAAGTATGAACTTGTCTGGGAAAATGCCTGGGAACTGGTCAGAGTACCATGTGGCTCTGAACACTCTGATTTACAGGGTTTATGAGAACACTCTGACCTACTTACTTGAATATTGATTCTGAATTTTATCTTATTATCTTCCTAGATCAGATAATGTATTTCATGAGGAATGGTTAAAATAAATTAACATGCAAACTGTTGTATTCCTATTAAGGCCACTGTGTGAGGGACGACGCTGCAGCTGCTGAGGTCCTGTTACCGTCTCTCCGTCTCTATCTCGTTGCCACCTCCGCCTCACCACGGGTACATAGGTATTCATCGACAAAATTTCTCTTAGATTAATCTACTCAGGTTGTTTCACTCGGACAGTGACCTTGCTGCTAACCATGTGAGTAAGGGCCCGTTTAGTTCCCAAAATTTTTTCCCAAAAACATCACATCGAATCTTTGGACATATGCATGAAACATTAAATATAGATAAAAAGAAAAACTAATTGCACAGTTATGGGGGAAATCGCGAGACCAATCTTTTAAGCCTAATTAGTCCGTGATTAGCCATAAGTGCTACAGTAACCCACATGTGCTAATGACGGCTTAATTAGTCTCAAAAGATTCGTCTCGCGGTTTCCAGGCGAGTTCTGAAATTAGTTTTTTCATTCGTGTCCGAAAACCCCTTCCGACATCCGGTCAAACGTCCGATGTGACACCCAAAAATTTCCTTTTCCCCAACTAAACACACCCTAAATCAAACAATTTATCTACCCTATAATTCTGTCACCCCACCATCAGGTCACTGTCAATCCATAACGCCATGCAGTCTTCTTCACGCCAACACCGAGAATCACCCCTGCCCCTCTGACTACCTGATATCAACCGCCAGACACCATCGCCCGTCTCCACGCCTCGTCTACCGCCTTAGTTATCTCCTCCCATCCTCTGCTCCCTCACCCCGATCTCCCTCCCCAATCACCGTCGCCCGCCTTGTCGACTGACTCTACACAGCCACGGATCTGTGATTCTCACAAAGGTACATAAATCCCTCCTCCCCATTCTCTTTCTCCCCCATGAATCGGATCAAGCATATAAACTTGTACAGTTCTGATGGTGCTTTAAACAAAAAATCTCTATGCTATCAAAATTAATTTGAGAACATAATCTAGAGGATAGTAAATTGATGATCTTTATGTTACTCACGAACGTCCTTTTGTTTTGTACCATCATCATTCAGGTGAAATATTGTGTGATTATCTTCTTTATACCATCTCGTGCTATATGCGTCCGTTTGCACTGGAATGGTAACATGACTATGTTAACACATGTCTCTCTAAATATGTACTTTTGCCATTGATATATTTTAGTAATCATGTCATGTAGATATTAAAAGAAGACGTTAACGAGATGACCAACAATTGTTAATCTTGTTACACATGGTGAAACTATTAAGTTAACTTCTGCTTCATATCAAACTGTTATTTGGGTTTATATTCACGCCCTCGTGCTCTGTGCTCAAAGGGCAACGATCGACGTGTACCTTGTGTGATGAATAGAAAAATCAAGATTTTAAAAGTTATCAAATACAAATATAATTACACCGTAGAGTTTAGCACGGGCATATTACTAGTCCTACTAGTTACCAGCCCATGTCTTTGCACGTGCTAGTTTTATATAAAATTGGGATAAGTCCATTTTACACCCTCCAACTCTTCGCTTCGTCTAAAATACACCCTTGAACTTCAAAACCGGGTATTTGGCACCCCTAAACACATTCAATACCATTCATTTTACCCCCTCAAGCGGTTTTCAGCTGGTTTTCACCTATGTGGCGCTGATGTGGCGGTCCAGTCAGCAAATAAAAATAAAAAGGATAGCCACCTCTTCTTCTTCCTCCATCTCCCATCCCCTTTCTCTCCTTCCTCTTTCTCTCTCTATCCTTCTTCCTCCCATGCCAAGAGAGCAGCAGTAGTGGCATCCCTGCTAACATCCTCGAGCTCAACGAGGGAGAGCGGTGGCAGTGGAGCTCAAGCGAGGTAGTCGGGCGGTGGCGAAGCTCGCAGACGCCAACCTCATTCCAGATCTGACGGTGGAAGTGGTGTAGGCAACGACGAGCTCGCGGACGCCAATGCCAAGTTGCCGACGAGCTCCATTCGTGGAGCCACCCCCCTCTCCCCGCTCAACACCTAGAGTTCCATGCCCTTTCGCCGCCGGTAACATTGCCCAACAAGCTCGAGTTGAAGGAGGAGATCGCACAGGCGGCTTCAAGCGAGCTCACAGTGGGGTCGATCCGCATCCATCAACCCTCGTCGGAGCTTGCTGGTGACCCCGTCTTCTCCGTGCACGGCAACCCGATCCACGTCAAGCTCACCGTCAACCTCCCTATTCTCCGCATCAATCTCGCAGCTGACCTCCCTCTTCTCTCAAGCATGGCGAGATCTTGGCTGATCTCAGAGAAGACAGGTTCGGCGTCGAGCTCGTCGTAGCCTAGATCTAGGGGGCTGAGGCGTCAACGACACGTAGAGGCGGAACTCGCCAGAGCCCAAGTTATCGGCGAGATCGACCGAATCTCTTCCCCCCTCCTCCCCGAGCACATCCTCCTGTATGCACCGACGAGCTCGAGCTCTGGCTGCCCTCCGTCTTCCTGAGCATTTTCCTACATGCGCTGGCAAGCTCGAGCTCTGGCTACCCATAGTCTCCCCAAGCGCCTCCTCCGTGTGCCGTCTTGACCCACCCGTCTAGAGCCTCCTCCTTCTCCTCTAGCTGCAGATGGGGAGCCGAAGGCAGAGAAGAGTCACCCCTGCACTTTCCCCGTGCCGCGGCTGGAGTTGGAGGCAGCCTCATCTCCTCCCTTGGCGCGAGCTCATAGAGGAGGTGGTGGGCTGGTGGCGCGGCTTGCCGCTGGGTGTGCTACCACCGATAGGGGAGAGAGAGTGGGGGAGAAAGGGGAAGGAGGAAGAAGAAGGCCAGACTGACATATGGGCCCCACTAATTTATACATATGGTATCTGACGTGGCATTCTTGTATGAAAAAAACGGGGTAGAAAACCGGGGGGGGGGGGGGGGTCTTTTGCACGGTATTAAAAGTTTGAGGGGGTCAAATGGTTTTAGAGTTAAAGGTGTGATTTAGACTAACGGAAAAGTTTGAGGGTGTTAAATGGACTTAACCCTATAAAATTTAATTAAAAAGCATAATACTTAGACCTAAATCTTTTTATGTTCGTACAAAAATTTTGAATAAGATGAATGATCAAACGTTTGTAAAAAAGTTAACGGGATGACATAGGAGTACATAAAAAATGGAGGTAGTATTTACTCAACTTCCATGACTGCGTCCCAGATTATTGCTTAGTGGATTGTGGGGCCATTCCATACTCCAGGTGTGAGGCTCGCCTCTCCTCACGGCATCACAACATGCAACCACTAACACAGCACAGCCACGAGAGAGATCGATCGATCGATCGAGAGTGTTTCTGATCGAGAAGAATGCTTCTGACAAATCGATCCCTCTGAAATTTCGTTGGTCAGAGATCAATCGATTCTTCAAGAAGGAATCGCAAATCGCAATGCATGCATGAGGAAGCAATTGCATCGATCGATGTCATCAGCAATGGCGGCGGCAAAGGAGGCAGCAGGTGAGGAGGCGTCGTAAGATGTTTGGCAGCTGCGGCGGCGGGTACAGGACGCAGACGATCAACGGGAGGAAGGGGACGTTCGTGCGGCTCGAGCAGCAGGAGGATCAGGAGCGGCAGCCGGCGGCGACGTACACCATGGACGGCAGCGGCGGCGGCGGCAGGGTGCAGCACGTGATGGACAGCTACTTCTCGAGCGCGCCCAAGATCCGGACGCGGTCGGTGCGCATGGCGGCGGCGGGCGTGATGAGCATCGGCGGCTACCGGGCGGAGCGGCTCAAGAGCATCGGCCGCGTGTTCCAGGAGGACCTCACCAACATGTCCCAGAAGATCTTCGACCCGCAGGACGCGTTCCTGGTGCGGATGAACCGCCTCTTCGTCATGGCCTGCATCGTCTCCGTCGCCGTCGACCCACTCTTCTTCTACCTCCCCGCCGTCACCGCCACCGACAGCAACACCTGCATCGGCTTCGACCGCGGCCTCGCCACGGGCGCCACCGCGGTGCGCTCGGCCATCGACCTCTTCTACCTCGCCCGCATCGCGCTCCAGTTCCGGACGGCGTACATCGCGCCGTCGTCGCGGGTGTTCGGCCGCGGCGAGCTGGTGATCGACCCGGCCGCCATCGCGCGGCGCTACGTCCGCCGCTTCTTCGTCGTCGACCTCCTCTCCGTGCTCCCGCTGCCGCAGATCCCCATCTGGAACTTCCTCCACCGCCCCAAGGGCGCCGACCTCCTGCCCACCAAGAACGCCCTCCTCTTCATCGTCCTCGTCCAGTACATCCCCCGCCTCGTCCGCTTCTACCCCATCACCTCCGAGCTCAAGCGCACCACCGGCGTCTTCGCCGAGACCGCCTTCGCCGGCGCCGCCTACTACCTCCTCCTCTACATGCTCGCCAGCCACGTACGTCCACTAATCTTCTCATTCGATTTGTAAATTTCACATAACGTAAGTACCTTCAAGTTTCAGAAAACAACACACGTTTCGATACTTGGCATTTAACCAGTGTTAGAAATTCCGGAATGAAATTTTCGAAATTTCGGACCCCCCGATACGATATTATTTCGGCCAAAATTTTTAATTTTTTTAATTTGGTAATATTTTGTTCAAATTTGACCAACATTTGTTTAAAATTATAAAAATTTCGGTATATCAGTAACCACCGATAGAATAAGCCAAAACAAAATATATATTAAGCCCTGCAATTAACTACATATGTTTTTGGATTAAAGCTTCACAAAATCAAACTATCAACGAATTGAACGACGTGCGAGATGACGAGGTTGTTCCACGTCCAGCGCACACATCCTAAATATATATAGATAAAAAAAACCACGTTATCTCGCCATTGCACATGTTCGTTGATAGTGTGATTTTGTAAACATCAGTAACAAAATATATGTAGGTAAGTGTTAAAATATGTATGGTTTTCTATATTGAACCAATTTACTTGTGATATAACAATTGATACTACAATTTCGATTAGATGGTGGGGGCGTTCTGGTACCTGCTATCGATCGAGAGGCTGGACGACTGCTGGAGGGAGAACTGCAGGGTGCTCAAGTTCCATCAGTGCAAGAAGTACATGTACTGCGGAGGAGGGAACCTGGGGCAGTCGGGTTTCCTGGAGTGGAGGACGATGATCCGGCAGGTGCTGGTGATGGAGTGCGCGCCGGCGGACGAGGCCGGGACCGGGTTCCAGTACGGGATCTTCACGACGGCGATCCAGTCGGGCGTGGTGTCGACGACGAACCTGGTCGCCAAGGTGCTCTTCTGCCTCTGGTGGGGGCTCCAGAACCTGAGCACCGTGGGGCAGGGGCTGAAGACGACGCACTACAAGGGGGAGGCCCTGTTCGCCATCTTCCTCGCCGTGTTCGGCCTCATCCTCATGGCGCTCCTCATCGGCAACATGCAGACGTACCTGCAGTCGATGACGCTGCGGCTTGAGGAGATGCGGCTGCGGCGCCGCGACTCGGAGCAGTGGATGCGCCACCGCGTGCTCCCCGTCGACCTCCAGGTATGCAAGTGGGTTATTTTAGCCCGCTAATTATCTCACTTCTAGTATATTTTTTCTTCTATACTACATTCGTCCCATATTATTTGTCGTTTTTGACTTATAATGTTTGACCATTTATTTTATTTGAAAAATTAGTGTAAATATAAAAAAGATAAGTCATAATTAAAGTACATTTGATAATAAAACAAGTCACAAATAAAATAAATAATAATTCCAAATTTTTTTGAATAAGACGAATGATCAAATATTACAAATAAAAACTCAAAACGACAAGTAATATGGGACGGAGGTAGTATTTTGTACTACCATGTGAAAAATGAAATAGCAAATGGTCAAACATTATAAGTCAAAAACGACAAATAATATAAAAAAGATAAGTCATAATTAAAGTACATTTGATAATAAAACAAGTCATAAATAAAATAAATAATAATTCTAAATTTTTTTAATAAGACAAATGATCAAACATTACAAATAAAAACTTAAAACGACAAGTAATATGGGACGGAGGTAGTATTTTGTACTACCATGTGAAAAATGAACGGTTTTGCTAAATTTATATCGACACATATTTGCCCTGGTTACAGTCGATTTTCGAGCCGCTTGATTCTCTGTGAGATCCGTATAGGAGCAGCGTAAATACGAACCGATTCTGCTGGAACACTGGCAATTAAAACCAACGACCCTAGCCAACTAGTCACCTGTGTTTTTCTGTTTGCAATTATATATTTATTCAAATTTATACGGTGCTTACACACCACTTATATATATAATTGGTATGTAATTTTAGAATTTACATATGTAACTTTAAGATTTACATATGTAATTTTGAGACTTACATTATAAATACACTAAAATTACATATGTAATTTAGAGACTTTTAATGTAAATACATGCCGACTATTTTTTAGTGAAAAATATGGCGCCATAAATATAGCTACTCCCATGATGAAATAGTAAGCGGATTTTTATACCGGTAGCCGAACTACCCACTTGCATCCCTACCTCCAGGAGCGCGTGTGGCGGCACGACCAGTACCGGTGGCTGGAGACGCGGGGCGTGGACGAGGACAGCCTCGTGCGCAGCCTCCCCAAGGACCTGCGGCGGGACGTGAAGCGGCACCTCTGCCTCCGCCTCGTCCGCCGCGTGCCGCTGTTCGCCAACATGGACGAGCGCCTCCTCGACGCCATCTGCGAGCGCCTCAAGCCCAGCCTGTGCACGGAGGCCACCTACATCCTCCGGGAAGGGGACCCCGTGGACGAGATGCTGTTCATCATCCGCGGGAGGCTGGAGAGCTCCACCACGGACGGCGGGAGGATGGGGTTCTTCAACCGGGGCCTCCTCAAGGAAGGGGACTTCTGCGGGGAGGAGCTCCTGACGTGGGCGCTCGACCCCAAGGCCGCCGCCAACCTGCCGCTGTCGACGCGCACCGTCAAGGCCATCTCCGAGGTGGAGGCGTTCGCGCTCCACGCCGACGAGCTCAAGTTCGTCGCCGGGCAGTTCAGGCGGCTGCACAGCAAGCAGCTGCAGCAGACGTTCCGGTTCTACTCGCAGCAGTGGCGCACCTGGGCGTCCTGCTTCATCCAGGCCGCCTGGAGGAGGCACCTCAAGCGCAGGGCCGCCGAGCAGCGCCGCCGCGAGGAGGAGGAGGAGGAGGAGGCCGCGTCGGCGTCGTCGTCCTGCCAGATCACCACCACCGTCCTCGTATCGCGCTTCGCCAAGAACGCCATGCGCGGCGCGCAGCGGCAACGGTCGCGCCGGGACGCCAACCTCATCGTCCTGCCCAAACCGCCGGAGCCTGACTTCCAGACCATGGAGTACTGATTGGTAGTGTCGAATTATACACAACATGCAAATCTTGATGGAGAGGAAACCAATTATACTTTTGTCAGTCTGGCTGTACCGCTGGGGGGATTTGCAATTATAACACTGCTGCAGCAAATTTCTTATTTACTTTACATGTTGAGGTACCACCACCCCTGGCCAGGAGATTATCATACAATCCGTGCAGAATACTGGACAGATTCAAGCAGTGGCACATGAACAAAATGCAAGACGATCATCACAAATTCACAAGTAGTTCATCCGATTGGGTAGGTTGATGCCAGCTCGCGCTAGAAGGTCCCTTGCTATTTTTTCAGCTGAAGCAATTACCTCCTCCTGGAATAGACCACAGGAAAAGTAAAAAACAGAGCCACAGAGGCCAGAGTGTGAGAGACACAATCAGTTTTCAGTGCATTATAGGTACTTAAGCAGGGTGTAAAATTATTGGTTGGTGAACCAGACAATTATATACCAAAGCCTATTTTTAGCATATGGTCAGCTAGGGGTAGGACTGTTGGAGTACCGTTTCTACTTTCTAACCATTAGAAATCTGAACTTCAGAAGTGTTTATTCCTCATGAATGTTTTGACATTACCTGTTCTAGTTTAACCAGTTCGTGAATTGTTGGCATGCAATTATGTTCATCGTGTTTACTGTTTAATCTAGCATATTTGGCTCATCTCGATGTGTAAGGTGCAAATACTTGAGCAGTAAATTACCTCATTCAAATTCACGATCTTCTTTTCCCTCATAATCCATCGACCGTTGCACATTACAGATTCAATATTTTCTGTTCTCATGCAGTAAACTATGTTGGCAATGCTGCATAACGGGAAGAAGGTGAGTCAAGTATTATGGCATGACCAAAAGTGTGTCCCAAGTCACTACTCGACAAGCTAGATACATCAATGAACAATCAGATCCAGTAATCATGGCCATAGAAAGCTGTTAATTGGTTGGTTGATGGATTCAAACAAAAGCTGTTCTAAAAATCTTGAGAGAAGTGAAATGAAACCCGTTTGTAAAGCCTATTTTCAATAGTACCGCAATTCAAAGACTTAAATCAACTCTGCAAGGTAGCAGTGCTTACCAGTCATGCACTGGGACCATGGACCATATAAGTGGATTCACAACAACCATGTCCGCCTGCACAAATTAGAATACTGAATACTGTAATGTCAACTTAGGAATTAATATACTAGAACTCAAACGTCAAGACCATTTGAATTCCATAGGAAATCATAGGCTCGCATGATGATACGATGCTTATGTAGGACAGAGAAATACAAAAACAACATATCGCAATTTATTTAATATGGATTTTGAGATGAATATGGAAACAAAATGTGGGCAGTGTTAATACTCATAAGGCTATCGAATGCAACACATGACAGAATAACAGCTAATGGAATCACCTTCTTCCCAACCTCCAGCGAACCTATTTCATCGTCCCACAGAACTGCTTTTGCACCATTAATAGTAGCCATCTTCAATACAGTCTCTGCAGGAAGAGCAGTTGGGTTCGTTGTACCAGTGATGTACGCCTCACGCCCTTTGTTAATAAGACAGGCTAGGTACATCTCATCAACTGCACAAACGGGTAGACATGTAAATGTTTTATATACTATGATATATATCGAGGCATCAGTGCAGACACGGTGGTGGATAACGAAGTAATAAAAAAACTGCCTGGAAACTTAAAAAGAAAAGATGGATATGACCTAGAATCTAGCAGAGTATGCAATTTATGTGCGAAAATATTTTAGTTTCAAATTTTCAGGGAGAAGGAAAAACGGATTCATCAATGAAGGTCAAAGCTGGCAAATGATACATATATTAAAAAATGCAGAAAAAGCAATTAAAAAGGAAAGGTGACACCTTTGTTTTTAATCTTTTTTCCACTTGAACTTTAATATCAAGATTAATTTAACCATGCGTGCTTTCCGCAAGTTCTATTCGTTTTTTTCAGTTGGTATAATGCTACTGTGCATGACTGCACACCAGAGTAAGCACTCTGGTCTCAACACTACATAGCAACTTATTAAAAACAATAATTTGTTTTTTTGTGGACTTAATTGACAGAGAGTTGCAAAATGTTAAGGTGTATCCAATTAAGATGTATATAATCTACATTTGATAGTATAAGAATTGTTTTGCATGACATTAGTCATGCCTCTAGCTCATAATATGTTTTGTGTTAAGGATTTCTGAAACAGACCAATGCTCATCCTGTTATTGCTTGGCGCTCCATCTGTACCAAGAGAGACACAAACACCAGAATCCAGCATTTCTCTAATTGGAGCAAACCCCAACATCCTCATAGCAGATGCGGGGCAGTGAGAAACCTTAACATCAGCCTTTAAAAAGTGCCCAATCTGCATGTAAGAACCTTATAAGGTGAAAACTTTGAAAAAATGGTATTAGAAGCTACATCTTTAAAAATCCAGACAATCTATCAGGAAAGAGATGCCAAACAATGCCAAATAGAATTTAACAAAATCCAACAGACTGACGTGACAAAGGAAACATTTCTTGTACAGCTGTGGCAGCAGATTCATGATTTGTCAAGTGATGACTTCTACATGATGTAATCAAGCGCAAAATTAGGGTGACTTCTTACAACTAGAAAGAAACAGTATTTACCATAGTTTTGATATTACATAGGAGTAAGTAGCAAAGACAACGGACAATGTAAAAGGTAAGACTTCATAATGAAAAAGTTTACTCACCTCAGGCTTATTCAACCAAACAGAATGAGCAGCCAGCAAATTGCTCCTCAGAAAATCAATTTTCTCTAAATATGTCACTGTCCCATGATCAATTCCCTTAGTCTGCATTACCAGCTCATTTTCATAGGGTATTTCTGCAATATGCTGTACAGAAGTGAAAATGAACGAGTAAGAAATTTATTGATGCTATTTAAGCAACAAGCTATTATTGTACAAAACTTCTAGGGAGCACCACCAAAACAGTAAAAGAACTCAATGCAGTACCGAAAATATGAAAACTTAGCTGAATTCCCCCATGCAATTGTGAGGCTAGATACACAATACATATGCTTATATCTGCCTATGCAAGAAAATTCTAGTAAATAACTGAAAATACATATATCCATATGAGAATGAGATCATAAAAAATTGTAAGTAGTATTGACCCTAACATATATGATCAATGTCAATTTGTATAATATATGTTTGCAAAAATAAGTGGTGTGGACTGTTTTTCTCTGGTAAATACGATCCTTCCTGGCCACACAAAATGGAATGTGAAGGCTACTTTTAACTTTGTACTTAAAACATTAAAGATGTGAAAAATAGTTTTTTTTTTAATTGTATGGATCAAATAACGCAGCACACTATCTTAAAACAGATAAATTTGGTTGCACCAATAAATCGATTTACATAAGTACCATGTGGATTCCAGTATTCAGTTTCTGTGCAGCATCTCTTGTTTCAAGCAGTAAACGATCCGTTGCATTCATGATCTGTCTCAACCCAAACCATATCCTGATACGCCCATCAGCTGTGTTGTGATGCTTTTCGTATAGATCTTTCTGCGACTGTGGCAACGCAATGCAACTTGTCACTTGCATCAATAAAAAACAGGCATGCAATGAATAAACAGTCAAACACATGTATATCTGTATTTACATGAATCTTAAGTTGTGCAAAACAGAAACTACCAAATATGAATAGACTCAATTTGCAAAACATCAAACAAAAGTTCCTAACAGCTGTGACATGGAGAAAAAAAGAAAGGGAAAAATGGCTCAAAAATGAATACATTACATTGTGGACGAATATTTTCTCTTTATTTGTTGTTTTGGACTTCTTTACATTACATTGTGGACATTATATGGACAAAGATACTAGTTAGGTATTGTTGAATTTCAGGCATGCAGCATGTTCCTAGATAAAGAATATGATTCTCTGATAAGCAAGACTGAGTTCTTTCCCCAAAAAACTCTTCCTATTCAAGATCCTGCATGTCTGACTTCGGAGATTTTACTGCAATTGTGCCTTGAATTATTTCAGGAAAAAACTTCTATCATATATAATATAAGTCCTGAAAGCCATTTGCATGTGTATGACAGTTAGTACAGAGCTAAATGGTAGCATTATATATAAGGGAACAATGGGACATATAGTCCTCATGTGGTTACTAAAGATGCTTGAGTTCAGATATCCAGTAAATGATTTTATTAAAAGCAAAAAAAAAAAAGTGGGTAAGCAGCAAGTGACAATGTTCAAGAAAATGGATATTCGTTACAGGTAGTCAACATATGGAAGGAAATGATGTGAAACAAAACTAGGATAAGTTCCAAGCCAGAAGAAAACCTGAATGCAATCATCAGTTGAACAAGAGCTCCAGTTTGGAGGTAACCCATCACCACAATCCATTATTGATTTTGTCAAGCATGCACGCAATCCCAGCAACTCTACTGCACGTGCCATTTCTGAAACATACTGCCCACCTGCTTCCGCAAAGCATGTTACCTGTCATTTGAGTTTTAAAGGGAAAAATGTTAGGAACACTGGCTAATTCGCAGTTACAGATCTTCATGTGGTTACTAGTTTGAACATAAATCCTATTCAGCAAACTGAGAAAGTACGAATCAAGTGCAGCACAATTATATTGCAGAGCCCATTTCATATATACGAGAAACATATGTAGTGTGGGTCAGAAGGGTAGGAAAGATTGAGTTAAACAAAACACAAAATTAAGATTATCCAATCCTTGGATTCTTCATGCCCCTATCTTCAAGAATATCAGGACCTTCGGACTTTCACAGAAAATAAACTGACTGGACAGATGTGACAGAAGTTTTAAGGAAACACAAATATAATCAACTTTACCTCATATAAAGAAACCTACAGGCTACAGAAGAAGATAACTGTATCCGTCCAGCATGATGATAACACAAATACTACCAGATTATAAACCTATGAGCCTTTAATCATGAATACAATTAATAGCACAATGGAATACAATTAATAGCACAAAGGATATTAAGAACTTCAGATGTTGATTTCTAAACATTGTTTTGATCCATTGGAGTAGTAAATGAAAAATAACATCTTCAGATATTGTGAACCAGCGTTATCATAGGATTTGATACTTTTGAGGCCAGAAACCCCATACATTTTACTTCTGAAATTACTATAGTACCATTTCGCTCATGTTAAATCCACCTTTCTATACAATGCAATGTTCGATAACAGAAAGAAACAATCGAATGCAGTAAATATGCAGAGGACATTCAAGCAAGATGCTATCTGGGTTTGTCCAAAGTACATTCACAGCTCTGCATCTCCCTCTGACATCCCCAGAAACCATAAGTGCATACTTCCCATGACAATCCACATCCACCACATCGTGGACATAAAACTAACAATTCGCAAATTTCTCCAACGAGAATGCAAATCATACCCAACACTGTCCAATATAAACTAAATCAAGATGCAAGAAATTTTGGTCACCCTTTAAACACTAACAGGCACACCCATCATCAACAGATATACTGCATGGACTGCTCAATTCTCTGAAAGTGCTCTAGGCGCCAAATTCAGTCATGGAATCGCAATCAAGCAGTGAAAAATTTGTTACAGGTTCCAGCAAACACGTTGACAGTGTCACTATCGTGAGAATTTCCACTATCGTAGTATCAGAGGAACTGAACTGATGTCAGTCAGGGGAGGGTTAGCTCACCCCGGATCGAATGAGCTCGATGCCGCAGAGGAGGGTGGAGGCGTAGGAGTCCTCCTCCGTCATGTGGGACTCGTATGGCCAGATCCTCCCGTGCAGCCACGCCATCAGGTCGACGTCGTCGGCGATCCCCCGCGCCAGCTGCTGCGACGTGTGCACGTGCGTGTTGACGAACCCTACCAAACCCCAATCGAACAACAAAAAACAGTAAAAATCCAGCCACAAATTCCGATTGGGGGAAGAGCTTAAAATCGACGAATCGGTGGAAGTGTGCGGGGAATGCTAGAAACCAACCGGGGAGGAGGATGCGGCCGGCGAGGTCGACTGTCGCCGCGGCCCCGGGGAAGGACGAGAGGACGTCGGCGGACGGTCCCACGGCGGCGATGCGGTCCCCGGCGACGGCGACGGCGCCGTCCTGGAAGACGCGGAAGCCGCCGTCCATGCTGACGACGACCCCGCCGTGGAGCACGGTGACTTCGTCAGCCACCGCCGCCGCCGCCGCCATTTTTGCGCGCTCCTCCAGTCCCCGCGGCGCGCGTCCGTACGCCGGCGAAGCTAGTGAGCTAGTGGATTGTTTTTCTCGGAATGGAGACCGAAATGATTGAGGGGAGGGGACACTGTCGACACTGAGACGGCGAGGCGTGTGGAGTCAGCCAACTAACCAAATGATGAGGATGAGATCTGATCCGTTTATTTTCGATCGGTAGGTGACTAAGGGTCTGTTTGAGGAGCTTTAAATTCTGAGAAGCAGTTGTTTGGTAGCCAGTTTTTGAGAATCTGAAAAAGCTTTGAAACCCAGCTTCTCCATCTTCTGGCTTCTTAGTTTATTTTTCAGAATCTGTAACTACAGATTCTCAGAAACTGTGGATTGTTTGGGGCAGTTTCTAGCAAAAGATGGGTTTGCAGCTAGGAGAAGCTCTCCAAATAGGGCCTAAGGCTGTGTTCGGAACGATGGGTTCCTAACACCACAGTGCGCACGGAAAACGAAACGGTCCATTAGCGCGTGATTAATTAAGTATTAGCTAAATTTCTTTCTAAGCAACTTTCGTACAGAAACTTTTTGTAAAAACAAACCGTTTAACCGTTTGAAAAACGTGCGTGTGGAAAAAACGAGGTGGAGGAGCTGTGAACCAGCCATTCTAAACACAGCCTTAGGAGAAGCTGTATGTTTTGGAGAAGACTAGGCATCTGGAGCCTGATGGAGAGTGGAAAAATTGGGCATCCACGTCATGCTGACGTCAGCATGATACATGTGTGCAAAACCACTTTAAACTATTTTTTCTCTTAAATTATTTATTTAAATTATGGTCCAATTACACCATTAAATTCATTGCAATTAAATCTTTAAAACAATACTACACATGGATATGTTCCGATAAAAAAAATATTTAGCTTATTATTGAAATATTTTTAAATGTTGCACGATGTTACATCAAGTATATCGGAATTGTTTCGCTGAGTAGATCGAAAATATTTCAATCGTTTAAATCGGGCGTTGTTTCACGTTACATAACCACAATGTTTCAGCAAATAACGAAAGAATGTTTAAGTCACTGCAACATTTGATTCATACATAGTGAAACATTACAAGTACACTAGGTGAAACATTTTTGGTGGAAAACAAAAAATGAAACGAATTATCTTAATGTAGGGTATCTAAAATATGTGGGTAACAGGAGACGTGGCGGGTGTTTATAGGGGCACACGTGGTGCATGGTGGGCTGGCGCGGCATGCGCGCGTCGTGCGGCGGGGGAGCGCCCAATTTTTGCTCCCCCGCCGGTCGACCGATCCCTGGTGTTTCCCATATGTTTTACTCATAAGATAGTGACACTATCAACGTGTTTGGTTATGAATATTCACAAATTAAGAAAGAGTAAGTAGTACATCTGTGTAGCTTGAAAATACTTTATTGACACAATACAGGCAGTGCTTGCTTGCTTGCTTTGGGAGGAGACAAATCCACTATATTACATACCCAGATAACAAAACCACTTATATTTCTGGACAGATGGAATAGTTATGGAGGCATATTCAACTTTTAAAACAAGTTAAAACATATATTATGAAAGTAACTACGGATCAGACGGCAGATGTATGGGTGAAAGGTCGGGCTCCCACGATGATATGCATTTTAGTTACTACTACTGATCTACTGCTACCACGTGTGTACTCCCTCCATTCCACAAAGAAACGATTCATCAAGGGAGGACTTTGTCTAAAAAAAACCGATTCCAACACAGAAAACAAGAAACTTTAACTCTATCATAATGCTGGCCATAGGTGGATGGCGACTATCTTCTCTCTTTCACACCGTAGAAACCTTATCTCCTCCCGGTTGTCTCTCGCGTTTCTCTCCCGTTCCTCCCCGCCGCCCCCTCTTGTATCGATTGCATCGATGCGGCGGCATCCAGATGCCGACCCTACCAAGATTCTGACTCCCTCCCGCTCCTCCCCACATGTTCTTCCCCGCTCTACGCTGCTCCTCCTCGCTCCCCATCTTCCTGCGAAGTTCCCCATCCACCAGGATGCGGTGGGGGAGGGTTGCGAGTAGTTAGATCCGATGCCGGAGGCGGCTCCGGTGGAAGGATTTGGCTCAGAAGCAGCGTTCATGGTAGCGGCAAAACAGTTTATGTTTTTTATTCAAGAGACACGAGCCAAGGCGGAGGAGGCGTGCGGCTTGTGGTTTTGATCCAAAAGGTGGCGGTGGGTTGAGGTGATTCAAATGCGACAGCTGCATCGGAAGTTTGCACGGATGGGATGCACAAGGAGGTGGCGGTGCCTGCGGATCTAATACAGGAGGGGGCAATGGAGGACAAGGCTTACTGACCTCCTATTATGATTCCAGTGCCAACAGCTGGAGATTTTGTTGGCGGTATTGTTGACGGAAAACATGGCGGCCTGAGAGATCTGCTTAATTCCAGTGCAGGTCCAAGGCTAGCCTCGAGTATGTCAAGGGCGTGCCAGCTGATTTGATCCGACAATCAACAAGAAAGACAAAATCAGAGTTAGTAAGCTGATAGCTGATCGGCCGATAGCATATCGTTGGTGGTCTCAGCCGATGTAGTTAGACCAAATCGGTTATGAACTGAATAGATCAAAGAATAAAAGACCCTAAATAAGCCTCATCGGCTACAAATACTGCTTATTAGGTTTGATAAAGAAGTTTAATATAATATTATAAAACTAGCCGATGGAACAATATTTAGAGCAAAATATATAGATAATGATGAAGTACTTGCTAATACTCTAGTATAAACTTATATAAACAAATCAATCTTTATAAATATATCAAATCATGATCAGTTAGTAATTTAGATAGCCAAGCCGATACTGATCTAACTTGATATGATTATATAGAACGATCTGTCTATATAAATGGCAAATATACATAACACCAGTAAAGAAGCATGTATATTAGGTAAGATCGGCGCTGAAACTTCGATACTATCTCTAATTATGATTAATTCCAAGTTAGTTTTTAGGGTTCTACACAAGACTAGGGATGATGCATCTCAAAGTAAGTAGGGAAACCTAAAGTCTAAACAATCAAGGAATTAACCACTTTTCAAGATGGTAGATGCTTTAGCTAATCTAATCTAGTAAGGCAATTTAGCCGATACCAGTAGGAACCCTAAAGCGAGAACCAACTGATAGTGCTAAATTGAGATACTAATGCTAGATTAACTATGACATATGATAACATATGGTTATGATAAAAGGATTAGAACATCTAAAACAACATAATAGCCCCGATAGCACAAGTTATTGAGACGGGCTACCTCTTGTCGAGAGAACTCACCGAGAAGAAGAACAAAAGGGGTGGCGATGCGCCAAAGTTGTATTAGATTGTCTTCTCCATTACAATGCTATTGGGTTCATACTTATACCCCGAGTGCAGACTTAGTCCATTATAGACACGACCCAACCTTTCAATACAAACAAGACCATATACGGTGGCCTCTTGCCAAATCTAACAAAAATCGACTTAAATATCCTAATCAATAGATACAATTGCCTTTATTCGAGCCCTATCTCTAATTGGCAATGACGGTTATCTCAATCTAGGCCGAAACCGAGCCCAAGTTATATCGCATCGGCTACTTGCTATATCGGCTAAGTTAAGCCTCTGTCCTGTTTGCAGCCCATATGACGCCAGCCGATACACAGTCCGACTTCGATTTCAACTTGATTCTATACCAATTCCGCTTCGATCTTTCTTCATCTTATCCAAATCTGATGCAAAATTCTGGTGTTGACAGGTATGCATGGATTGACTAAAAGGTATCTCCCACTCAGTCTCCCTGCCACCAATGTGTTCCCCTCGTGCAATGAAAAATGCTTTCAATAACGTGTGTAGTACAGATGCATTGGGTGCGGTTGTATCCCCATTCTTTTTATGGAAAAAATTGTTAGGTATAGAATATCTTTGGTTAAACTAATGCTCTTTTCTCATCTGGTGTTTTGTATCTTTTTAATCATCTAGCTGTTATAATTCATCAAGTGTTACCAATGTTGAAGTGAGCATACTCTGTAGCAGTTAGCAGAGCTTTACATTTTGTTATGTGCAAAATTTGGCATGGAGTGAGAAGGGGTCATGTTTACAAGTTTTATATTTAGGATTATACAATATAAATATAATCACTAAAGGCCTAATGCATGTTAGCTAAAATAAAATCACAAAGTGATCGTTTGCATTATGTAAATTCCTAATGTTTAATCATAAATTTAGTAAAAATATTTAAATCATGACAACAATCACACCACTCTACATAATAATCACACATGCGGGGTTATTTTTTGCAATGAAATTATGTTCCTGCCAAGCTACGTGTATTCTGACAAACTCTACACGAAACAATAAACTATCTCCCACACTACGAAATCAATTTAGACTCGAGAAGGCTTTTTATTTGAAATATATATATTGTGTCACATGCACCTATGGCATCCATTAACAAACAATGAGACAATCCAGTATACAGAGAAAAAAAGCAGGTATATCTCAGCAAAGGATACGGCAAGTTGTAAAATATGTAGCCATTTTAGTACATACCAAAAGGAACACCAAAAGTAACTATCAAGTTCTATTGATTGTTGGCAAACAATGATATGGGCACAAAGATTTGTATAAACCATTATTTTCATATCCAATCAATGTGAAATGACAACTTTAAGCCACTTTTCCAACTTTATTAATTGAATGTACAATTATGTTCATCACACTTCTAAACAAATGATTTCCGCGATAATACTTTTCACATGTTCCTCAAATGTGCAGCCTCTTGTGTGATGACCCTTTTGCCTCGGACTCATGGGCTACCTTTAGAAATAACTTTTGTAATGTTTTTACACATAACTATTTTAGTGGAGTACTTAAACCACAAGGTTGCGTTGAAGCTTTTACATAGTGAACTATTTTAGGGGAGCACTTAACCCGCAAAGGTAGTATTGAATCAATCTATTCCCTTGGCTACAGGAAAAAAAAAAGCTCATTTTACATCCTGATGATATTTTATTCTTTTAAAATTTTTATGCTTCTCTACATACAAGTCATATTTCGCTTTGACACATCAAGAGATAAAGTCAATAATAATTAAACGAATACACTAAATTCCACGACTTGTGTGTAAATGCCTCTAAGGTGTCAATACAAAATCAATAATAGCATTTCTTATAA